GCGAAGTGTCGAATTCAGGAGAGATCTACGAAAAAAAGTCAGTTCTTCCTTAGGTTCCACATTGAGCAGTCGACTTAGTTTTAGAGTCTCGTGCAAAATTAATTAAATTTAATAATGGATAAAGTTTTTTCCAAATTTTGCTATGAATCTCGGTGCGTTGAGAGCATTTTTCCAACCGGAATTTAAATTTATTAATAGAGAATAATAATGTAATTAGAGAGAATTAAAAAAAGAGTAAAGAAATTTATGTCATAGGGAAAGCTTTGCTTCCCTAGCTTACACTCTAAAGACGCCACTATCAAGTAACCATTAATGACGCAATCGCATCTCGATAACGTCCACTTCACATCATTTACATACTTCGCATAGCTAGACGGGGTGTCACGTTTGTTTTTAAATACATTAAAATGCTAAAATGTGGGTTTTACGTTTCATATCACGGAAGAGGTTATTAACCGCCACGAAATGTTAGCGGCATATATGTAAAAATAGTACGGATTAATAAAGAAGTTAATATTTTTTGCAGTGAGTATTAGTGAAGCTACAACAAATTATAAAGCAAAACTAGTACAAAAATATAAAGGACTGAGAATATCACGTGCAAATACCACACGCTTCGAATTAATTGCGTAACCGTATATATACAGTGATTCACTTGAAGGTCACGTAAAAATTTCAGAAACGGTAGCAGATATGAAGTTGGTTAAATTATAAAAAATACGCAATAATAAGCGCTCTTGTACAATGCCATTAATTTTCGTACGGCACTAAAAAATGGAATTTTATGAAAATTTGTTGGTTATTTTTTTAATTACTTGGTAAGCGTAAATACAGAGGTTTCATAAATAATTACAAGCCAGGTGACCACTAATTTTGTTTGGAACAGTAATTTTATTTCTTTCGTATTGGCAATTAAATTTCGGTAAAACTAAAAATTACTAAAACAATAAGATCAAGACTACATTAAAACACAACATTCTGATCAGTGTAATTTTTCACGAGATTTTCTTCGACCAACCAGAGATCGCATTATCTTTAGCGTAGGCTTAACGGTTTGTTACTGTTCATTGTAAACGAATCATTAATATTGGTGATCTATATCTAAGTCATTTTCTGGCAACGAAATTAGCGGGTCTTCAATATTACTACACACTTAGGCTTGGCAACCTGTACACGCAAGCAAAATTGAAATACATAAAAAGATCTAGTTAACATTTTACAATTATCAGGTAATATCAGGTATCATAAAAACTGATTAATTTCAAATATTTCGAATTTTCACCACCAAGAATGACGGTGATAACATTTTTAACATTAAGGCGATGTTTCGCATTGTATCAGCTATGTCCTGTCCAAATTTGGTTAGTGCAACTCTCTCAGTTTCGATAATTCAATACTTATGTATATTTTCAGCCACAAAAATTGAATAATTTCAAATATTTCGAACTTTCGAGAATTCAATACCTATGTACGTTTTCAGCCACAAAAACTGAATAATTTCAAATATTTCGAATTTTCACCACCAAGAACGGCGGTGACAACATTTTTAACATTAAGGAGATGTTTCTTATTGTATCAGCTATGTCCTGTCCAAATTTGGTTAGTGCAACTCTCTCAGTTTCGATAATTTAATACCTAAGTATACTTTCAGCCACAAAAATTGAATAATTTCAAATATTTCGAATTTTTACCACCAAGAACGGCGGTGACAACATTTTTTTTTTAAATTCGAATAATAGTACTAACTAAACTATAGAGTATATAGGATACTATTTCATTTCACAATAATTATCTAAACAATTTAATAAATATTAACATTTTTTCAGTCATTTTTAAACAAATAAAATTAGAAAAATTAAATTCTCAGTAAATGCATATGTCAATACAACTATTTAGGTACAAAAGCAACTAATGATCGAAACTCTACAACGCCTGCGAGCTTGGGAAAAATTAATTGAAAACAGCATCTTCTTAGATAACAAATTCCGCCAACGCCAAACTAATGAAGCTTTCGGGCTGAAAACTTTACCAATTATTAAGGGTGCAAAGAGCTTAAAAAATCCTGAATTACAAGTGTCTGCGATGAAAATTGCATTAATTATTAGCAATTGATAAAAACAGCCATTTTCGACCATTCTTGCTCTCGCGCAAAACAAATTATCGGAATTTAATCGGACTTGTCTCATTTTACAGGTTTATTGAACACCTACCTTTTTTGTACAAACCTTTTTTCGCTATGAATAACAGTTTTTTTACGCGAATTAAAAAACCACTTTTCCATAACTTTGACCACTGTTTAAATAAAGCTTCCCAACTAGTCTGGAGTTGATTTTTTGATTTTCTGTTACTCCGTTGTTTTTCAACGAATCTTGACGATTTTTTTTTAACTTAAAACTGTTTCCATAAGCTTTCCGAATATGTAATAATATATAACTATATAACGCGCGTGCGTCGTATAATTCATTTTGCAACTAAGGCTAAAAAAATAAAAAAATTTCCAGGTTGCAAAGGACCCCGCACAAACCTTATGGAAAATGGCTTTCGGTCAAAATTGCTGAAATTGAAATATGATATAGCTCTCACCTTCCTGACCAAAAGTTGTCATGGGCCCAAAGCGATCCTATGAGTAGGTTTAAAGATATAGAGCTTTGAAGCTAACGATTTCATAGCACGGTGCTGAATATAAGTGTAGGATAGGTGTATGTATATCTCCCTTTCTATACATGGTGAGTCAGTTTTTTGTAGACAAACTTTAACAGGAGATAGAAAACATGTTTTTAAAAAGAAAAGTCCCTATAAACATATGTCGTAGAAGGCTTCGTTTCCGAGATACATGGTGTTGAATATAATATTTTTTTTCTCGTATTTTCATTATAACATAAACGAATGCTTAGATTTTTTTCATGTTTAGGGGGGGGGGATAATGCCTATTAATTAAGGAGCATAAATCAAGCGATAAGTATGTTCAAAAACTTACACAGTGGCAGAGTGGAGGGGGTGCTCAACCCCTTTCTTAAACAGAACTTCTACGCCAATGACTATTTTTTAAAAAAACTGTTATTTTCATTATCTACATACAGTTTAACAGAAATAATGTCCCTTCTTCTGTTTCGAAATTCCTGTGCGTTTCCGAGTTATTTTGATTTTTAGTGTTTGATGTGGTATTAAATTAATTTATTGCTTATCAATTATCGGCTAAATATTTAATTATTTCAACGAAACCTACCGAAATATGGTTTGTTAAGGATTCTAAAAAGCCGAAATCTCATATTCTTTATCTCTTTCCAATATAGTTAAAATAAATGTTTGTTATATCAAGCCATACTCAAATACAAGACTTTTATAAGTTGAAATCTGTTTAATACACTAATTTTAACAATCCTTATTTATTATGTGCTGCGTAAATACTAATGTACTGCAACTAAATTACAAAAAAAAAACATTGAATGAACATTGATGTTAATGTTTATGGAGAAATTTTTTGAATTTATAACAATATTTAATTAACAACTTCTTAAAACTTTTTGGAAACTGCAGAAACAGGTTATTTCATGTCTATAATGACTGGACTATAAATTTGGTTTACTTTGCTGTAATTTTTATTTTAAAGCCATGTATTAGGTATTTTTTATTAATTATTAAAAATGGAAATCATTTCAGGTTCAGGATCTTGTTCCTTCACTAGTTGGTGGCCATATCCCTGGCCGAGAAATGGTGAAATTTCTGGCATTTTTATGTACTGAAATCTTGAAAAGTAAAACGTGTAGAACAAAAGTAAGCACAAAAATAAAATCCTTGACGTTTTGTTTATTCATTGTTACCATTTAAATTTACCCAAATAAAATAATAACATAACTAAAAAAAAGCGTTTGTAAAACATGCGTTTTCTGTTATCCTAACCCCCCATTTTAAGAATTATTTTTACGTACTTATAAATAGTGATGGGCATAATCGACCAATTTTGAAAATCGAGTTATCGGTAATCGAGTACTTCTAATAATCGAGTGATTGCTTGAGATACGAGATATTGGTCTTTTTCATCCCAGCGGCGCACAAATATGTTTGTATTAGTCATATATTACTTATAAGCGTAGCTAAAAAAAAAAAAAAAAGCTCACGCACTTCAAAACCTAACCACTTTTTCGTTTTATTCTAAAAAAACGGTTACGCAATCAGTGACTATTTGCAGTATGCACTAACATTTTGAGGTGCAACCGTAGGGTAATAATCACTCGAGTGGTGGGAGTAAACATCTCGAGATATCTCGAGTGATCTCAATAATCGAGTACCACTCGATTTTTCACTCGAAATCTCCCATCACTACTTATAAATAAAAGTAAACAATTTTATATGTAGGACTAAGCATGTAAATGTTATAACAATATTTATTCGTAGATTTCAGTACCTAAAACCTTGATGGTTTGATCGTTTTTTGCACCTGTTTATTCGTTTTACTGCGGCGTCTTTGAAAATACTCAGGTTGCATGACATAACATTCCTATTATTTGATAAACTTTAGATTATTCAGGTACCTATTAAATGTTTGAAATTATTTGTCTTTGCGGAAAACACTATTTAAAGAATATGGGGCTCTTAAGCAAATCTTACGCTCAAAATTGTGCCGCTAAGCTTAAAGACACCTTGTACAGTTTTGCAGGGATCAATATTTTTTGAGAAACATTACTCTACTAATTTCTCAACTAAATAGGAATCTTCAAACTCTAAAAACCAGTAAACAAACCAAAACAAACATTACGTAAGGATGTTTGCGCAAAAACTGTATAAATTTCCACTTTACATTCTAATTAAACAAACCTCGGTGACATCACCGCGACGGCCAAGCACGCCTATGCCTGTACCTGTCTCAGATACGTCTCCGTCCTTCTCTATCGCCAGGGGCTTCCCGTATCGCCGTCCCCTTCCAACCCGTTTTATTGTTCTCCGTTCGCGGCGGGTCGCGAACGCGTGTGAGTTTCTCTCGATTCAAATGATACAAATCGCCGTGGAGTAACGAGACCCCTGTGTGTGAAAAAAATGTGTTTCCGCAGTGCGTAAAGTGAAATTTCGACTTCTGGTGACTGATAGCTGTTCGACGACATGGATTCCGACGAGGAAAGCGTGACGTTGGAGCCGCTGTAAGTTATATTTAGACGTACCTCAACGCGATCACCTAAAGCCGAGGTTAGGTTATGTTTATCTTTCAAAACATTGAAGTGTCACCTGTTCGTGAGTTTATTTGAAACGATACCATGCCATGTCGTAAGGTGACAGGTTCTGTAAAGAGAAATCGACGCGTTATGTCATATTTCCTGACAGAAGTGGGTAAATAGTGCGAAAAATCACGTTTTACTATTCAAGCAGCGATCATTTGTATGCTATTTATGTATTTATTGCTATTATGTTTTACGTGTTGATGTGAAAACCGCAAGGTTGACTTTAAGTCGCGGACTTCTTGCTTTGTTGTCGTGCAAAATAATTAGATTATCAGGCACCTTTATCGCTAATCAGTGGTGTTCGATTGGGTACTTAGAAATTATAACATACATCAAATGCCGTTATCTTATCGCTTCCAGGGAAACGCTATCTAAAAAAATCATGTACTTACTGTGTAATAGATTTGGAATTACCTTTTATCTTGACGCTCCTACTGAATTTAAATCAGTGCGTTAAACTTGGTGTTTAATATTTGCTTTAACTGTCTTGATTGAGATACTGAGACTGATTGTGAGATAGACAAGGCGTAACAGCGAAGAGTTTGGTTTTAAAAATCAATTATTCTAGAAAAGTTGATGATGCTAATTTTTAACAGATATTTTATTATTTTTTTTACATAGTTGCTTAGCAGAAATTGTATGTTTTTCATCACATCATCTTATTTAATTAACAGATATGCTGCTTACATTTGCGTTAAATCCACCATGTTAGAAATTGGAGTTTCCACAAGGCTCGGTCTTGGGTTCTTTACTTTTCTTTTGTTTTGACTGCAAAGTTGCAAGTATTCTTTTTGCTGATAACACCAGCATGTCTACCTTCAACGGGGCATTTTCCAACCTTGAAAATAATGAAAATATGTTAAAAAATATGAAATGGTATTTTTTCGTTTTTCATTTTGAGCTCATTTAAGTACATGTTAAAAAAATACAATTTGCACTGTGACGTCATTAAATTCTTTAGAACAAAGAAATACATTAGCTATTCTAGTGAGTTAAGATATACATTTTTTTACAAATTTTTAACGTGAGCACATTTTTTATCTTTGATCGTATACAGTTGTATACTCACTACTCGAAAACTACTGACTAAACGGTAGTATTGTCACTAGTCTGCAGTGATTTTCTCGAAAATGGTTAGTTGTATGAAAAAAATGTAATGAGCTAAAATTCAGGACCATTGCATTGCATCAGATGGTGAATAAATTTTAAAATGTTTCGCTGTAAGTAGTTAATAAAATTTGAAAATATGGTGTGCATTCTTCATCAGACAATATCTCGGAAATGGTTGGCCTGAGAGATTTCAACCTTTTTTGCTTAAAATTGATAGGGGAATAAACGTACTAATACGAAACGTTAATGTACAGGGTAGTAAAAAAGTTACGGCCAATTTAATTCAAGCGTACATAGTGACGCCCTCTACAAACAGCGTCAAAACATATGACATATTTAAGTAAATTTAGCACCCTAAAAAAACCTCTTTCCTCAAGTTTTATGCATTCAAATTTGTTTGGAAATTAAGCCTAAAAAATCAAAAAAATCTACTCTGTCTACTCTGCCACTCCATGGCTGCTTAAAAAGGTAGCAACTGGCAACACTCCAATTGAAGTTAATGGTAACTGATCAAAGACTGCGTTTCACATCCCATTTTTGAAAAATCATTATGAAATAATGTTGCTAATTTTTTCTGTTATAAACAGTTCAATTATTGCTTCCAATATTCGCTTTACACTCTGTGTTATTCAATTAAATGTAAGTCTTTCGATAAATTCGTTACAGTTTCTATTGACTGAAGCGCGTCATTAATCAATATTTAATTAAACAATGAAAGCATTAATATGGCCCGGTAATCGCCTAATAAATAATTGGCCTAATGAATATTTATTGTCAAATTTCAAGTATTCCAATGATTAATAATCGGCCGCCGCATCGGGGTACATGTTTATTCGGTTTATGCATGGTATTTACACAAAATCAATACATCGCATGAATATCAACGATGGCTGCGAGATTATTCTTACCGGGAAATCCGCGGTCCTCCTCGAAATTTGCTCCATAAAATTTTATTACTCGGATACGGTTATTACTTGGGATGGTGCATATGTCACGTTTTCAAGTTTATTTGTTTATAATTACCCGTGGTTCGATAATAGTTAGACGCCATTTTATTTCTGTCACAGAGGTAGAACTGCAAGAATTTTCTATTCCATCACTGAGTATTTGTTACATACTTCAAGTTCACTTCATAAATGTTTACAAGCCACGTGACCATAGGGCGTAGGCAACCAACAATGCGCAGTTGGTAAGATCAAATGAAAATCCCTAAACCTCTGTGGAGTGGTTGGAGGGGCGTTACATGTAATTAAATAAAATTGTTTTTAAAATTGATTGACATGAACTATCAATATTAATACATATAGTTTAGTATTAACTTTATTAACTTTATTAAAAGGAGAAAATTATCAAACTATCAGACAGCAAAATGAATATGATGTAAACAGTTTATTATTATTTGATACCCCCCAACCACCATTTGTGAATCACCCTGTATGTACGATTTATTATTGAAGCAAATTAAACAATGGCAGCAAAAATTACTGAGCATGTGGTTTACAATCATTTATAAAAGCTGTGTATAAGTTTCGGTTATTGAAAAAGGATTATGATATAAATAAACATTTACTGAAATTTTGAAAATATGGGCATTTTTTGTTCTATTACAAATATGCTGTTCGCTTCTTTGCATTTTACTTTAACTGATGCGTCTGTACTTTTCATTTTTTTTTGTGAAAATGCAATAAATAGTATACTCAGTGTAAAATTTAATAACACTTAACCGAAAAACTAATACACTGAGAAAAGTGGTGAACTTGAATAAATACGATAAAATAGATACGTTTTTCATTTGTTTAAATCAAAGCACACATAGATAAAATAATAATATTGACTAATATGACTAATGTTACTTTTGAAATAATATCTTGAGTTAAAATTATTATGAATATGGTCCTTGTCGCCTCAAATATCTAGGCAGCACCCAAACAACTGTGCGTGGAGTATAGACACTGACATCTATCGGACTGACAATAAAAGTAACACTGGCATAAGTAGGTATACATCTGGTAAAATCGTCAATTTTCTTTAATTTTGTATTTTTCCGTTTCCTCTGTACCGTGATCAATCCTTCTTTAATTACGCGAAAAATTGTCGTTTTTGATATCTTAGTTAATTCGTTAATCCGTTTCCTAACTTTTTTATCACATTGTTCACTATTTTCATTTTTCAAACATTCATATATATTTAATATAATACGTTGACTTTTTACGTATAAATCTTTGTTTTTAAACTCTGAGTTTGTTTTGATGCTTTCGACAAAACCGGTTCCACTATTTGGGGATTTTCCCGAGTTATTTCGTTATCTTCCGCTTCAAAGAGTCTCCAGAGGGCCACGCTAAATTACTAGATAATTACATATAACATTTATTTTAATAACTATTACCCTTTACTGGTTACGATATGAACAAATAATAATATCAACTAATAAATAATAATACGTATTATACCAACAACATATCTCGCCAAGCAATGCTCTGCACTGCACTGGCAAAGCGGCAAAGCTAAGTGAACCCGTGTACCATACAACATTATTTACGACCTAGTGGACCAATACAGTTTTGCTTTGATGACCAGCGCGCCGCCGTCAATTCTACGTCAGGCGGACTAGTTTACCAATACCGGACTATCCGAATTGCTATTCGAGTATATTCGAGGCCACATCATGGTCAAAGCATAGGAAGAAATTTCAGGAGAAGTGCATACGGTCTTGTGTTTTAAGATTTATAAGTTTCAATTGACATCGTAACAACTATACAAAAGAAACATAATTGTTTTGTTACTTTCTATCTAATCCAAATATACTACTGCAATGTTTTACGAGGTATTTCCTAGTTTTGCAAACAGTAAACAACAAATTAAAAGAACTGCCATTACAAAAACGATTAAATTCCAACCGATTTCCTAACACCGGGGTATTCCTTTGAAACTTTCGCGTTTATTAGCAAGAGAAAATCCCTTTCATCTTACTATCTCCCCCTCCGAACAAACCGAACCGAATTCGAAGCGTAAAACGGCCGACTTCGATTCCCGAACTGATAAATTAACTGTTTCTTTCAGGAGAATTATTCAGACGCGCTGCGAAGTTCCACATGCCGGACCTATTAGACTAAATAGATGTCTCTCTCGCTCTCCAATTCGATATCTCGACGAGAGGCTGTTTGTTTTTATACGGTTTTCGTGACCGTTAAGCCCTCCGGAAACGTATAATTCTGAGACGCTCCTGAAATTTGTTTTGTCGCAGCCGCGCGACGCATACAAAACGTCGGGACGATGTTTGCCACTTCCCCTTCGGTTTGGGACGCCTATGACTCCTTAGGTCATCGTCAGCTTTGAGATCTAGTGATTATGATCGTCCTAAGGGCATCGTGGCATTTATACGTTTCGGAAATATTTGGAAAAATATTTTTTTTCGATAGCTGTCATAAAATATTGACAGTTTAAGTCTGTTTTCAACGTCAAAAAGATTAAAAATAGATTTGTTAATTCAATTAATATTTTTTTGTTCATATTCTTTAGTTATTTCAACAAACGCATGTTTCAATCAACTAATTTATGAAACGATTTAAGAAATAGCCAGATTAGAAGTAACAAAATAAAATAGTTGAAATTTTCATAAATTTAACATAAATTATATATGAAACAAGTAAGTATTTTGTGAATGTAAAACATAAAAAGTGTTAAATAAAGTTTAAAATTAACATTTTCATTCATTTCATTTAAGTCTAAGTTTGCTTACAGCAAAAGAATCAGACTACCTTTCAACAAAATATATTGTTATAAATTCCCTTTTAGCCTTTGTTATTTCAACC